AGATATGTTGAGAAAGCCAGAGACGTTGATGACATTAGTCAAATACGGATGAGTCCCAACTACAGTATTAATAAAGTATTTACGTCCGCAGAAGAAGATTCCCTAGAAAACTATATCATAAGCTGCTCACGCATGTTTTATGGGATGTCTGTTGACGGTTGTAGAAAACTTGCCTATGAAATGGCAATCAAAAATAAAAAGAAATTCTGTCAAATGCATGAAAGAAAATAGCAGGCTGAATGATGAGAGGTTTTCGCCAAAGACATGTTCGACTGTCACTTCGCACCCCCGAAGGATGTAGTTTATTTCGTGCGACGTCATTACATAGACATAATGTTTCAATTTTTTACCAAAATTTGAAGAATATATATTCAAAAACTGATGCGTTCGCTGACGGAAGAAGAATCCACAATTTGGATGAGACTGCGACTACGACGGTTCTAAAATCAGCAAAGGTTGTTACTGAGAAAGGGGTGAAGCAAGTTAGCAAGGTAACAAGTGGGGAGAGGGGTACATTGGTTACCACTTGTTGCATCGTTAGTGCCACGGGACAATGCCTACCAGCAATGGTGTTTCCTTATAATGAAATTTTGATGTAAAATGTAGAACATTAAACTTAAAAATCGACGTGTTTTAGATTTTTTTAAAAAGGCTTTTCATTTAGAAAATATCGAATTTATTCCATACTTTACGGACACACTGTATAAAAATACTTTATCATCACACAGCCAAATTTGTCCACTGTCGAACATAGGCCTCCTCAAGATGTCTCCACTCTTCTCTGTCCTGTGCAGCTGCGATCCAGTTTGTCACTATTCTTTTAATGTCGTCCGTCCATCTGGTAGGTGGTCTTCCACGATTTCGCTTGTCTGCCCTTGGCCGCCATTCTAAAATCTTCTTTGTCCATCTGTTGTCTCTCTGTCTTGCGACGTGTCCTGACCATTTCCACTTCAACTTCGTAATCCGTTTTATGACGTCTTCCACTCCAGTTCTTCGCCGTATCTCATCATTTCGTATTCGGTCTCTCAAAGTTACGCCAAGCATAGATCTTTCCATTTTTCGTTGTGCTACTTGTAACTTTTTTATTGATGCTTTAGTCAATGTCAGTGTTTCAGCTCCATAAGTGAGCACCGGAAGTACGCACTGGTTAAATGCTTTTCTCTTTAGCTTTATTGGGATGTTTTCCTTAAACACGTCTTTTAGCTTGCCATAGGCTGCCCATCCTAAAGCTATTCTTCTAGATAATTCGCATGTTTGGTTGTCTCTACTTATTTGTATTTCGTGGCCCAGATATATGTATTTGTCAACCGTTTCAATATGCCAGTTTTCTAGTTTCAATGGTCCACTAGGTACTAAGTTGGTCATCATTTTAGTTTTCGCAAAGTTTATTTCCAGCCCTACTTTTTGGGAGACTCGTTGTAAATCTTGTAGCATTTCGTTGGCCTCCTTTAGGTCGTCGGTTATTAGAACTATGTCATCTGCAAATCGTAGGTGGTTCAGCCTTTCGCCATCGACACTCAAACCTCTGTTTTCCCATTCTAACATCTGGAATGCATGCATAAAAATACTTACTTATACATAAAAGGTACTGTAATTTCTTAGTTATTCGTTAAGAAACTCTTCTACTGAATATGATCTTTCATAATTTAGATAGATAGGCTTTTGTCATTTTACGGAACTTGGACAAAGATGTTTCAGATTTAAGTTGTAAAGGGAGATGGTTGTATAGTTTCTTTACCTTATCTTTAAGGAATGTATGAAATATTTTATCTTCATTGTCACTATTGCAACAAGCAAATGCACAGCGCATTTTGAAAAAGGCACAAAAACCAGATATACAATGGCAAATAAAAACTTTTAGTTTTACAAAAAAAACTACTATGTAGTATAATAAACTAAACAGTAACTAAACACCTTAAAAACAGTGTCTTAAAAAGGTACTTTGAAAGTAAATTTAGTAAAGTACTGAAGAAAAACACGGTAAATTGATACAATGTCAAAAAACTCATTAACTATCATTAAAAATAATGGGTTCGAGCGTTCTTGACTACGTCACACGCCTGGGTCAGCTGTCAAATGTCATGCGCAATAGCAATAGAAATAATATAACGCCAGTAGTCCAGGCTGTGAGGCCGCTCCCGTTGGGAAAATGTTTCTGATTCGGTTTCTTCGCGGATTCCGGTTCAAAAATGTCCCCTTTAAACAAATCTGAAGGGTGCCGGGCGAAATTTTTGGGCAGAAATTGTTTAAAACAATTTTTTTTAAACAAATTCCAAAAATATTTTTTTTAATCTGGAAAACGTTTTTTTAGGTTTTTTGGGTCATTTTAAACAAAAAAGGTCTCTTGTTATTTTTCTCTAAAGTTGATAGTTTTCGAGTTATGAGCGATTTAAAGTCTGAAAAACGCGAAAATACGCATTTTTGAGGCTTGAAAACACATATGTAAATTATTATTTTTGAGGTTACCAAGTGTCTAAATTGAAGTTTAAACATTCAACTTCAAGATTGTGAAGAGTAATCGGGGCTTATTTTAATTTAGACCATTGTTTTTTAATTGTTAAATATGCGCGTACACTCGATTTTTCAGCCGCCGCGGCGCGGCGCGCTAGAGTGCGCTTCTATCGTACTTATGCATAGTTTACATATACACTTACGCAAAAAAACCCGAACAAATCCTTGAAGTTTATTAACATAGTTTTTTCCATAATTTATTTATGTAGGTATTAATTATTGTCATTGGGCTAATTAAATAAAGCAATCATCGCAATGTAATAACCGTATATAGTTTTTTTTCTTCCAAATTTGAACAATATAATTATTATTTATTGAGTATATATTTATTTATATCAATTGTAAATAATATTTTTAAATTATTATTTAAATAATACAATGCAGTAAATATTAATATTAGTAAACTTAATTTTAAATTGCGCGGTGTTTAAAAACAATATACTATCGCAAAAATGCAAGTTTTTACCTGTTTAACAATCGCGCGCTCATACTTGATTTGTTATTACTTAAACGACCATTAGGAAGACTATTGTTTAATGCCCATTAAAAGGGTATTATATTATTAATGTGTTATTAAAAAAATTGTGAATGGATTTAAAATGTCTTTTTCCGTACCTCTTCTTAAATGAAAACTTACCGAAGAAAATTTAGTTTGTATTTTTTGTAATAACATCAACAATATTAAGTTAGTGCAAAAACCTAAAGTAGATTTTTACATAACAATACAAAATGCTGCTCTTCGACGAAAAGACAGTGTGACTGAAAAATTTAATTTAATCTAGCCAATATACCTTGTACCTCTGACGCACTTTACCAACACTTGTTAAGAGCTTTCGCTAAAACATATATTTGGCGAAATGCCATATATTCCCGCTATCAAACTCTCGATTTTACACAGTATGGATATTATATGTCTGATAGTGGTGGGTTGGGAAACCGTGCAAATGCAAAAAGACTTGCAAAACTAATGCTTGCAACTGCAAGAAAAATCATGTCAACTGTGTACCATTATGTGGATGTGATTTAGATTTTTGTGAAAACAAAGATACTTTTACTGAGTGATATTAGTGTGTTATTTAACAATCTTTTGTACAATTATTTTATGTAACTATTATTAGACTTTAGACGAAATTTATATTATAACTCAATTGATATAAATAAATATATACTCAATAAATAATAATTATTTGTAAGTATATGTAAACTATGCATAAGTACGATAGAGGCGCACGGTAGCGCGCGACGCCGCGGCGGCTCAAAAATCGAGTGTACGCGCATACTTCACAATTAAAAAACAACGGTCTAAATTAAAATAAGCCCCGATTACTCTTCACAATCTTGAAGTTGAATGTTTAAACTTCAATTTAGACACTTGGTAACCTCAAAAATAATAATTTACATATGTGTTTTCAAGCCTCAAAAATGCGTATTTTCGCGTTTTTCAGACTTTAAATCGCTTATAACTCGAAAACTATCAACTTTAGAGAAAAATGACAAGAGACTTTTTTTGTTTAAAATGGCCCAAAAAACCTAAAAAAATGTTTTCAGATTAAAAAAAAATATTTTTGGACTTTGTTTAAAAAAATTGTTTAAACAATTTCTGCCCAAAAATTTCGCCCGGCACCCTTCAGATTTGTTTAAAAGGGACATTTTTGAAGCGGAATCCGCGAAGAAACCGAATCAGAAACATTTTCCCAACGGGAGCGGCCTCACAGCCTGGACTACAGTCGGTAAGGCGAAAACCGCTGGGAGCATTCCATTAAGGTCAGTACCACCACCACTATGCAAGCGGCGTTATCGTAAAATTTATCAAGGTTCGGTCCTTTTAACTGACACACGTGTTTTCCTGGGTTAAATCGAGTGGCGATTTTGAAAGCCAGTTTCGCGTGTGAATTTTTTTAAATAATGTTTATATTAACACAACGGTAAAAAATCGATATCCTTTGAACAGTGTCCTATCAACAAAAATCAAAATGTGTTTTGAAAGGTCAAAAAAACATTTAAAATTGCCGGTTGCTTCAAGCGTTGTTTCTAAAACAACGGTTCATTCTACACAAAAAGTGCAAATAAACATTTTTTAAATTAAATCAACTACATTTTTTATTTGAAACACTTTTTTCTACACCACAGATTTAATATAGAAGTATTTAACTTAGAAGTAACACAGTTTTTATATATCACAGATAGAAGTAGAGATTTTAGAAGGAAGCCCTGGGGTAGGAGTAGCAAAATTTTTTGCATTTTTTTGGGGTCCCAAAATTGACATTCTCAGCAAAATTCAGCTTGTTTGTATGATTTTAAGAGGTTCAATGGCATTTTCGTCTCTGATGACTGGAGTATTATACAGTTTTACATTCCAATTACATAATAAAGAACTAAATAAAAATTATGTAAAATGAGCTGTCCAAATCTCTAAGAGCTCTATATTTTTGAATATCTATATATAACTACTTTATATCAATAGGTTTTTCCCTTACTCTTTTTTCTAGTTACATAGACGTTATGAAGCAAAGTCGTAAAGGCGAAGCTGATTCTAGCGAAAATTTCGATCAACCCGAAGAACCGTCCCCTTCGGCGATTATGTCATGGACAGCAACTAGTCCAAACGCCAGTGTCGCTGGTACGGGTACGGCTAAAAGCGTGGTTCACCATGGTCCTGCATCAGATTGTACTTCGATGTCTGCAGATTCACCGGGTTCGAGACAATCCATGAGCACTCATCAATCCACTACAGTAAGTAGATAGATAACTCTTTCAGAGTTAAACAAAATTATTTTTTTCTGCTTTTACACATGTTGGTTTATAAATTTGTTTGAATGACAATATATAATTGAGGACTTGTCCAAAAAAACTTGCAAACGATGTAGCATTTTCAATTTCATTGATTCTTTGAAGTATATTGAAATCCCCTCGTATATGAAATATATTGAAATCTCCTTATATATGTTTAAAAAATAAAACGAAGAATTTTTTCCGTGTTTGTTAGTTCGTATCTTTCAAGTTAAAATACGCAAAAGTGTTTTCAATAATTGTATTTGCATTGCTGGATGTTAATAAAACCATTTCAGAGTTGTTTATTATTTTAAAGATATTTACTTCGGCAATTTCTTTTAATGTTTTATTCGAAGTCGTCTTATAATTTTTATACGTCGCAAAAGGATATCTACGTCGTTTCGTTGTGTTTTGCTATTTCAGCGTTTTGTTTATTTTCAAGTTATATGAACGAATTTTTAAATTCGTCATTCATACTTGGGTCGTCGTAGTGTCAGGTAAGAATCTAAATTCTTACTTGGGTCGTTGTAGGCTCAGGTATGGATCCGAATTCGTCGTCGAATTTGTAGTTTTTGTGTTTTTGGCTCCTTTTGGAGAAATAAGCAGCAGTAGTGGTGGATTTTATATGTTATGAAGTGACCACCGGCATTAATTTGCCAAAATTAGTGGAGTTTTCGCTCGATATTTCAAGATGTTTGAAAAGTCTAGTTCCTGTTGAAAAGTTGAACAAGTTTAGTTCCTGTTTTTTGAGAATTCCCGTTTTAGAGTCTGATTAGGTCTCTTCGAGACTCTTTGGTTTTTGTTAGACGATTTTCGTGTTTTCCACGACAGTCAAGCAACTTTTGATTTGACTTGATGCTTCCAAATAAAATTAGAACTTTGCCTTTTGTTAAATATTAAGTTTCACAAAACATTTTTTTGGCATACCTGTTATATTTTTTCAGGAATTCATCTACCCTCCTTCTCTTTGGCTCCTCTACTTCCATACTTAACCCCAAATATTGTGACTGTTTATTGTATGTTTTCTAATAGATATCATTAAATAAGTTGTTTCTCATTTCAAGGGGTAATTATTATAATTAACGGTATTTAAATTGTGATATTATTATTTGTAATTATATTAAAATTGCACATTGTATTATTCGTTTCAAAATCAGGAAAACGTTTCAATGTTCAAGCCACTTCGGATGCAAATGCAAGTAATCATTTCCCTTTTGTCTTCATGTTCCAACGTTAATACTACTTTAATCTGTACTTTCCCTAACCGCCTACACTGTCACATTGGAAGTTTTATGTCAAGTGAACTTCTGTTTTTAAGTGACAGGTAGCGGAATTGGCTGAGATTCGTTTCTTGAAGCGCTAAATCGAAAATCCATACTTCCAGTTTCTATTGTTTCCAAGTTATGTTTACACAACTGAACAGAAATCTGTTGCGTAACTTCCAAGAACTGGAATGTTATTCTGAATATTTTCGCAATTACGAAAACGCTATTTATAACGAATTATGATTTTATTTAATTTATTTAACGATTTTGATGGACATTTTTTTATTCAAGATCTGTTAATAAATACACCTGCAATAGAAGTACAAGTGGTTCATTTATTTCTTAGATAAGATTATTCGTTATATGTAACTGTCTCTTCAAAAGTAATCATAATATCGTTTTATTTAACGGTAATGGGTTTAGATTAATCGTCTCTTGAGTCAGAGGGCGTTCAAATACAATAGTCTTTTTGTTTATATTTTTTTTATAATTATAGAGTAATAGTAAATAGTCGGTAATTAAATTAACGTGAGTTAGGTACCGTTTATCTGAAGAACATTTGTTTCGACCGCTCAGTGGTTTACACTTGGGTAGGTAGGTATAATTTTTTTTAAACCAGCGTAATCAGATTTTGCGAAACATGAATATTTTTAGTATAATCATAACTACTACAGCGATCAGTTAAATTCAAATAGTGAACTGCAAGTGAGTTTGGTTGTGACTTCACCAGTGTTCTTTCTAAACTTCTTTTACTATTTATAAAACCGCACATAGCTACAAAAATATAGACAAGTGCCAGACACTAATGGAAAGTACTAGAATAATTTCTTTAAGAAACAATTATATCAGACAGATAACGGAGTATCGAAAATGAAACGAAATGTTTCATGTCCATAAAGGACAGAGAATTATAATTTTACACTGCGTGCAGAAAATGGATGCATCTACGATGTGTTATTAATATCTGCAAAAAAATCTAGATTATCATGAGGATATGGAGGGCAAATTCAGACAAATAGAACGGCACTTAAAGACACATATAATCAGAACAATATACAAAATGAATGTGGCTAATATTTTCCAACTATTGAAAGCCTTTGGAGTGAACTGGTTCGAAAGGACATTCTCTCATGTTCAGCAACAACACTTTGGTGGTTTCTTAAAACCTATCATTTTAAGTAAAAAACTATAGACAAGCGCCAAACAGTAATGGAAAGTACTAGAATAATTATTTATTTAAGAAACAATTATATCAGACAGATAACGGAGTATCGAAAAATGAAACGAAATGTTTCATGTCCATAAAGGACAGAGAATTATAATTTTACACGGCGGTGCAGAAAATGGATGCATCTACGATGTGTTATTAATATCTGCAAAAAAATCTAGATTATCATGAGGATATGGAGGGCAAATTCAGACAAATAGAACGGCACTTAAAGGCACCTATAATCAGAACAATATACAAAATGAATGCGGCTAATATTTTTCCAACTATTGAAAGCCTTCGGAGTGAACTGGTTCGAAAGGACATTCTCTCATGTTCAGCAACAACACTTTGGTGATTTCTTAAAACCCATCATTTTAAGTAAAAAACTATAGACAAGCGCCAAACAGTAATGGAAAGTACTAGAATAATTATTTATTTAAGAAACAATTATATCAGACAAATAACTGAGTATCAAAAAATGAAACGAAATGTTGTTTAATTAGATGAGACCTGGTGTGATACTCATGACATATAATTTTACACTGCAGTGGAGAAAAAGTTTTAAAACTTATGAGCAGTTGTGTTAATAAAACGTTTGTATACTAAAATACTTATACATAAAAAATGTGTTTAATTGTATGTGATAATTACTTTTATTATATTATAACAATTTTTATAGGTATTATTATTTTACAATAAGTTCTGTTCAGTCAAGTCGATTATTGTTATCACTCCTTAGATATTTGATATACTCATCACGAATTATTAGTACTGATAATTAATTACTAATATTACCAATATTAATATCTATTGAAAAAAATGCAATTTTCAATTCGAATTATAATACATATAACACTTCTTAACAATATTTTGACTGCTGTCAATAAATAAACAATATGAACTCCCTGTCAAATTCATTGTCGTAGCCTACTTAGTTTCGAAAAAACAATTTTTAATCATATGAAATAACAATGGTCAAAATAGTATCAACATTAAGAGTTTTCTGCTATAAAAAATTTTGAAAGTACCTACTGACTTATTTTTTAATTTATTTTATAATACAGGGTGTGTCAATACTATACTTACTTATGTTTATGCGTTTTTATTCATATCTCGAGTTCGATAAAAGCTATTAACATGCGGTTTGCGCCATTTTGTTACGAATTTAATCCAGTTCCATTATAATTTACAATAAATAGGTGTTTCCATTAAAAATTTTGAAGAAAAACAAATTTTAATTTTTTCTATTCGAAAGTACCCTCTACCTACGACAATTAAAACTAAATGCAATTATTTTATAGTAGATGTAAATTAATTCATCCATACTCTTTCTAATGACACTAATTTTGTTAAAATCGGTTGATCCAAACCAAAGTTATAGGTATTTATCCACAAATACTTTCCCACTCTCCCCCACCCTTTATTTGAAAAAATAAAAAAAAGTACTTGAACAACTTTGTGCAGAATTTATGCCTCTTTCTAGTTTACTTATTTAACACTTGGTATAATTGGACATATTTCCCAAAAAACTGGTTTTCAAAATTTTCTTCGCAGGTTACGCCCCCTAGCGGTTAATCCAGAATCTTGAAAGTTATTTCCAGCGATTTCTCTTGGCCACTTTTACTAAGGAATTTTTTCTCCTAAAGTTATATCATGAATAGTTTCTGATATATAGCCGAGAGATCGGCTTATTGGACCACCCGGTACATTAAAATTATCATGTTTTGCTGCAATTGCTCTATTTCTTCACATTTTCTTTTATAAAAATCTATTGGATTCCAATCCAAAATCTTTTATATCCACTTTGTGCGATCTGCTCTTCTCACGTGTCTATACCAAATTAAACGTTTTTTTTTTTAATGTAGCTTAGTATATCTTGTTCTACTGCCATTTTTTATCTCCTTATTTCTATTACAATCTAGTCTTGTTACTCTGCAGTTTATTCTCATCAACTCCATTTCGGTTGCTTTAATTTTGCACCTATTTCATTGCTCTATTACCCAATTCTCTGCTGCATAAGTCATTGCACTACGTAGCAAGGTGTTATATATTCTCTTCTTTGTATTTCTGGTGATCATTATATTTCTTAGTATCCCGTCATTTACTTGATACATGTTCTTGTTTGTGGTATCATGATCTGCTGGTTATCTCTTGCTCAGTGGTTGTATTTTATTAAGATTGTGAATCCTAAATATTTGAATTTTTCAGTGCTGTTAATCTCCCCATCTTCGTCCATTTTCAAGTCTCTCACTTGTTCTTATTCTGTTGTTAAGTATTCGGTTTTTTGTAGGTTTGTTTCCAGTTCATGGACTGGAAATAACTCTTTCTAAATCTTAGATGTTTTTTAATTGTTGTCTACTAGCAATATATTCTTTTTTGGTTTTTCCTGTACTGATGATCAACGTTTTAAGTCTAGCTTGATTTTTTTGTTCCATTAGTCTCCGCCAGTATTTGCCACACCATATTTTTTGGCTAAGTTCTAGAAGAAGGCTAAAAGACTACATTGTAGGTTTCTCTTACTAACAACAGAATTGCCACTCTCCCGTAACCGTAACATCGAAGTCAATATCCGTTTGTATTTTCTTTTGAATTATTCTGGAACTTTATCTCCTGAAACTCCATAATTAATATTTTTAAATATCGTGTGTAAAAATAAAAAATGCCTGATGCAGTCCAGACCTAACCTTTAATTTAAGAGTGGCCATTAATGTGTTTACTAACAAACAATATTTAGTATGGAAGATTGTTATAAAAGTCGCAAAATTATTTTTGGTTCAAAAAAATGTATTACTTGCAAGTTGCAATGATTATATAAATTATTGTTTAAACAAGAGTAACAATTGTCTTATAAATAAACTTTGTTGTTTAAGTATGTCTAAATTAGCTTATCTAATAATTTATGAACACTCTTCTTTTAATTATTTTTTAGAAACTAAGAAATACCTACGGGAATACCCAACCCGTCATCAGTCAGTCCAGTCCAGCTCAGGCCACTACGCAACAAGTTCTACCTCAACAGTCCCAACCTCAACAGCAACTGCAGTCTCCTACTCAGCTTCAGCCACAACCCCATCTGCATCAGCATCCCATGCAGATGCCCCCACAGCCCCAACCAATAGCTTCAACGCAATTCTTGGATCCTCAACATTACGTAACGGCAATTCCTGTCCAGCAGTTGATTACAAATTTCCCTTCGCCTGGAGTCCTTTCGCCGACGCCAGTAAGTACTTGTAATTGTTCTCAAGCAGTACCATATCGTTAAAAATATCGTACAATGTGAAAAAGTACTGTATTTGTTACGATATCGTCAGTAGAAACATAAACATGAAAATCGGCAAAATCAAATGATATGGGGTGTGGTATTAGTGAGGGGAAGTTCACTTACTTATTTAGGTAATAGTTTGAGCATAGGTAATACCATAATTTGAAAATATTTTCAAATATACAGGACTATCCGAATTGACAAGGTAAAACAAATACTTCTTTTTTAATGGAACTCCCTGCATATTTGTAAATTTTTGGAAGCTTCTCGACGTTCTCGTTTTAACAATGTAAGGTTCTGCAATGGTATATAGGATAGTTTAAAAGAGATATTTACGTATTTTATTATTTTCGTAGCAATATAAAACCCCCTGTAGAATTGTAGACAATGAACTATGCCAATGTTCGCAAACGTATATAATTAACTTGTAGATGTAGATGTAGATCTTCTGCTGTTCTTGCCAATATCACAGTATCGTCAGCATATCGAATGTTATTGATAACTTCTTCATTGACTACTATTCCTTCGTTTGCATGTGAGAAAGCTTCTTGGCATATTTGTTCGCTGTAGATATTAAACAAGAGCGGTGACAATATACAACCCTGTCGTACTCCTCTACGTATTTCTATTTCGTCCGATGTTTGGTCTTCTATTTTTATATTAGCTCGCTGATTCCAGTACAGATTTAATATTATTTGTATGTCTCTGATATCGATGTTCTTACCCTCCAGGATTTCTTTGAGTTTATTGTGGCGTACTTTGTCAAAGACCTTTTCAAAGTCTAAAGCAGGCATGTACCTCTTGGTTAATATCTATACATCTCTATGTTAGGACGTTTAAGGCAAAGAGAGCTTCTCTTGTACCTAATCCTTTTTTGAATCCCATCTGTGTATCGTTAATATCGATATCTAACTTTTGATAGATTCGGTTGTGGATGACTCTAAGAAATATTTTAAGCAGATGACTCATCAAGGAGATTGTTCGATGATCTGAACATTGCATTGCCTTGGTTTTCTTCGGTATGGTGACAAACGTAGACAGCAACCATTCTTGAGGTATTATACCAGTACTCTATATTGTATTGAATAGATGTAATATTATGGTTACGGATTTATCATTCAAAAGCTTCAACAGTTCTGTAGGAATTTTATCAGGTCATTTGCTTTCATTTTTAGCGTTTCTTATTGCGTATTCTACTTCTTCTTTCAATATGTCTGGCCAAGTTGCATTGATTATCTGAGTTAAGTTGTTTCTATCGTAAGCATTTCTGGTCTGCGCTAATAACTGCATGCAAAAAAGTGCGTCTGGTGTACCTAAAATGTTTTTGAAACCAAACTTAGTGTCTCCTGTTCTCTCTTCACATTCTTTATCAATCAGCTTCTGAATTGTAGCGTTCTACTTTCTTAAATTTTAAAACTATAGACGGTACAATAGCAAGCCACGCCGATTTTCATGTTCCCATATCATTAACCCTGTGTATGTCTAGACCAGCGGTCGGTGAACCGGGGTAAATTACCCCAAATGGGGTAAAAATGAAATTTTTGGGGGTAAAATTGAAACTTGTGAGTAAAAAGTATATATTTTAATTTGATTTTTTATAAACCTGTTTTGCATGCACCGAAATTTTTTTGTATTATTTGTGAAAGATAAATTACATTTTCCTACTATCCTTTGTAAATTTTTTATATGCCCTGGGAGGAATTTTAAACCCCAAAACCCCCCTGGGTGCGCCACTGCACTCCCCACCAGTAGAGTGTTCTCGAGTTATATCTTTGCGCAGTAAAGCACAGCCCCGAGCCCCGGCTACCTGCTACCTGCTCTGTCCCTCCAGTCCGTGCCGTGCAGTCAGAATACAAATACATTGACGAGTCAGAGAAAGAACGAATTTCTATATTAGCAGAAAATGTGAAGGAACAAGTTATTTTCTCATTAAAACAGGCTAAATATTTTGCTATTCAGCTTGATGAGACAACTGATTTTAGTAACAATTCACAGCTAATGGTATATGTTCGCTACAAAGGTGCAGATAATTTTGAAGAGGAATTGCTGTTTTGTTCTCCTCTCGAGTTAAGATCTCGTGGAATTGATGTCTACAATAAAGTAAATGAATACTTCAATGCGCAAAGTTTAAAATGAGAAAACTGTATTTCAGTATTTTTGGATGGAGCTCCAGCTATGCTGGGCCATATTAATGTTTTTTCGGCTTTCGTAAAAAAAATAACCCAAATATTGAAGTTATTCACTGTATGATCCATCGCCAGGCCCTTATGGTCAAATATTTAGAACCTACACTGGAAGCCTTCATGCATGATGTCATCAAGATTGTAAATTTTATCAAGGGACATGCACTAAACACGCGGCTATTTCGTGAATTATGTCAGGACGGTGAAGCCGAATATACGGACCTACTTTATTATACAGAAGTAAGGTGGCTCTCTCGCGGAAATGTACTAAATCGAGTATGGACACTCAAAACTGAAGTGGAAATTTTTATGGTTGATCAAAAAAATATTCTCGCAGATAAGTTTAAAAACTCTTCCTGGGTTGCATATCTCGCATATTTAGCTGACATTTTTGAGAGTATAAATATATTAAACAAAGAATTGCAAGGAAAGAATATTAATATCATTTCAGCGAGAGAAATAGTGTCAGCGTTTGGATTAAAGCTGCAATATTGGAGTCAGAAAGTAGAACAGAACAAGATAGCTTCTTTTTCAAGGTTAGCTTTGTTTTTGGAAGATTGCGAAAATATTACTTTTGCTGACATCAAGGATACAATTGTAAGACATCTTATCAAACTCAGAAAGCGGTTTTCAGATTACTTTCCAGATCTTGATATACGTACTGTCAGTTGGATTGTAGATCCTTTTAAATGTGAAATTGATATGATACCAGAAGAACCTTCAGGTTTGGCAGAAGCAATTCTTGAACTTCGATCTAATACTGAAGCACGTATTCAATTTGAGAGTAAACCAAATCTGTCGTCTTTTTGGATATCAAAAGCTGCAAAGGCTTTCAAAATTGCACATGAAGAGGCGGTTAAAAAATTGCTGCCATTTGGAACAACATATTTGTGCGAACAAGGCTTTTCCACTCTAGTGAACATAAAAACGAAGAACAGAAATCGATTAAACGCCGAAGACTGTATTCAAATCGCTCTTACATCAAAAAGTCCCAATTTTGAAGCAATTGTATCGAACATGAAACAACATCATTTCTCCAAAACGTGAAGGAAGAATGTTTTCAATTATTCTTTTTTTATAATTTTTTCAATTCTAATTTTTGTTAGTACAACCATTATTATTATTATAATTTGTTACAGTACCGCAATGGGTTTTAATTTTTTATATCTTATTATTGTTATCTATTATTATGTTATGTATTTCTAGGTATCATAGAAATTGAATAAATGATGTTTATTTTATGTTTTAGTTATTGTTTTCTGTTCAAAACTATCATGGGGGCTATAATATGAATGATGCTAAAAAGAGGCCTTTTTTTTGCTTTTTGTTTTTTGCCTTGGGTAATATCAACTTACACAAAAATGTTTTGGGGTAATGATTAAAAAAGTTCCCCGACCGCTGGTCTAGACTATTTAGAAAAAGGCGTTATATTGCCGATGACTGTCGCGATATCTGCAGACGTAAATTTATAGTTTTATAGTGAAAACCCGCGTACCTATGTGGTGAGTTAATTTTTGGTAGTCCGTCTTTTTTAAAAATCCTTTTCATTGGTATATGGATTCTTATCCATTTTTGATGTAGGGAATTTTTTTTATTCTATTTTTAAATATATTTTGCTTTTATAATTAAATGTTTTATGAATTTAATTTCTTAATGTTATTAGATGGTTAGTATATTTGCATATGTACAGCACATGTTGTATGTATATATTGTGTATTTCATAAATGAATAAATAAATAAATAAAAAATAAAAGCTAATTATGTATTTCCCTGTAGGTGGATAATCTGGTCATGTCTGCGTCGCCTTCGCAACTGCAGGCAGACCTTCAAAGGAAACACGCAGAACTGCAAGTAATGATTGGACAACAGCAACAGGAATTGAGGAGGGTATCGGAACAACTCCTTATGGCCCGGTTAGGGTTATTGCCTGGTTCTCAGCCACAAGTGGTTAGTAATAGTAGTTTAAAAGAAATTGTAGGCTGTGTGGAATTGAGAGTGCAATTGTTATAGGTTCGAGAAATCTTGCAGACTAATATCCTGGATGTTTCCAAAATCTTTTTTCTTCCTCTTTCAATATTGGTAACCAGATCCTACTACATTCTGCCGAGGAATTTGCGACACAATTGGCCTCATTTAGCATAATTAGAGCCGCTTCTTTGATTTTTCTTTTTTTACCATCCGTTTCTTTTAGGACTACATTTGAATTATTCCATTGAACCCTATGTTCATTATCCCATGCGTGTTTACATATTTGAGATCTATCAAATTCTCTATTTTTAATATAAGATTGATGTTCACTTATTCTAACATTTAATGGCCTTGATGTTTCACCTAAATAAAACTGATCGCATTCACAAGGTATTTTATAAATGCAATTCTTTGTCCTTTCTTGTTCATTGTTAGGTTTGGTTTTGGACAAAATAGATCTCAACGTGTTTGTTGTTTTGAATGTTGTTGAAATGTTGAATTTATTTCCTATCCTTTTAAGTTTTTCTGATAATCCTTTTATGTACGGTATTGTTATTTTCCTCGTATTATTCCTTGTGTATGCTGTAGGATCTCGTTCTAAGTTGTTCTGTTCTATTCGATCGATTGTTGAAAATTCCTTATTTATAAACGATAAAGGATAATCATTTTTTAATAAAACAGATGTTAACAAATGTTTCTCCTCCAAGAACGAATTTTCGTTAGAACAAGTAATTTTGGCTCTATCGTATAAGGATTTAATTATTCCCTTTTTTACATTAATATTGTGATTTGATTTGAAATTTAAATATCTATTGGTGTGTGTTGGTTTTCTATACACCTGAGTCTCATATCCAGTATCGTTCTTAGAGATTAAAACATCCAGGAAAGGTAGCGTGTTATTATATTCCTTTTCCATGGTAAATGTTATTGTCTCTTCTTTATCGTTTATATCATTTAGGAATGTGTCCAACAACTCTGATCCATGAGGCCATATTGAGAATACATCATCTACATACCTCCACCATACTGTGGGTTTGAAATTTTGTTTAGAAATGATATTTGTTTCAAAATCTTCCATAAATATATCGGCTAAGAATGGAGATAAACTAGAGCCCATTGCTAGACCAAAATTTTGTTTATAGAATTCATTATTTAGTTGAAAATATGTATTATCAGTACATAATGTTAATAACTCCATTATAGCCGATATGTTTAGTCTTGTTCTAGTTGCCAATGAATCACCACTCTCTAATTTTGTCTTGACTATACTTAAAGTCTTATTTAATGGCACTAAAATAAACTTTTTATGTCAAAACTTACCAAAATATTATTTGAATTAAATTCAATATTTGATAATTTATTTAAAAAATGTTGTGCATTTTTTATGAATATGTCATTTTTATTTGTAAATGGTTTTAAAATATTTAATAAAAACTTTGATAGTTCACTACAAGGAGAATTCATGGTACTACAAATGGGTCTAAGTAAATGAAACAAAATTTGTTTAATTTACTGTTTGTATTTTGAGAACGATTTCTGAAGTGGAAATTGAAACGTCAATAAACGTATTTTTATCTTTTATTTTATGTACTATTTAATGTATTCCCAGTTAAATAGTAATTAAAATCTTTTTTGTTGAGTTTTCAATTATTAGGTATCAAAAACACGCATTCAATAAACGGCGTGGAATAATTTTAATGATTATTTTAGGGATAATAGCTAATTATTTATTATGATTAAAGATGATCAAATAAACAAAAAAATATTAATAAGTAGATTACAAATTAGTATTAAAAATTTTAATCGAAAAGTGAAAAAACGGACTTACACAAAAAAATACTATTGAACTCATATTCAATACAAAAATAACATTTATGTCTTATTTTTAAACTAAAATCACTAAAAAGTAAAGTAGAAAATAAAAAAAATCGACAAGATTTCATCATCAGAAATCATCCACACGGCGATTTCTGTAAGAAAATTATAAAATTATAAATAAACTAGGTAATATTCCCCTTCTAAGGTTATATCTCTGTAACAATTTTGATGGTCAGTTATAAATATACTGTGAAATTATTAGCAAAAAATTGTTATTAACACACTGTATACTTTTGGTCCAATGTCCATAGTTTGGCCCAAATATTCTAACCCTAGCTTATGTTTCAATAATTATAACTGACCCTATTGGCGACGTGCAAGTACTTGGAGGGGATACGAGAAACGATCGTGCGCGAGTAGCGGAGAAATCTTGCATTTTTTACTGCACATTTCATAGATTTCATAAATTCATATTGTCAATTGTCATATTTCATATTCGTTTTGTTTATTTACATTTACACCTTCTGTCCCTGAAGAAAATGGGATTTAGGAAATGCTGTGTTATAAATTGTAAAAATACAACAAAAAATTGTCAATTTAAGTTTTATTCGTTTCCAACTTCGAAGCACAAAGCTACTACAAAGAGAAAAGTGGATTTATATCATAAAAAAGCATAAGTAACATAACCTAAATTATGCATTATTCTTGCGCCCGATTTTAAAGTCAGTTTGAAATAAATAATAAATAAAAGTTCACTTTTAAGTGTAAATTTTAGTTTCATAACACTCACTTAGAGTTCATTTTAACCCAAAAATCAAGTTTAATGTTTAAATTTTATTTTTTTGAAGTTTACAAGAATGCATCAAGTTCAAGTTTTTCTGAAGATGCATTAAGATATATTCGCTGTCCAAAGTTTACAGGAAAATTAATTGTTTTCCCTTTGACCAAGCTTTTCCCTTTGACTCAGTGCTTGGTTGAAAAGTTATTTGGTGATTTACTTTCTCAAATCCAGTTTTTATTATTGCATCCATATTAACAGTAATGCTGTAATTCAATAATATATTTATTTGTATTTACGCTACATCAACGTTTACCTTTTAATAACATACCGACATAACCTCAATCTTACTTTTTCTTCTTATTCTTTTTTGGGGCCACGTCCTTGACAGTTATCCGGTTACCTCGATCTAACATAAAAGCGCAGTAAATTTTGCTGATTTACGACACCAGCTGTCGCTGTTCCGAACTTGCACGGTCCCAATAATATTAGTTTTAAAATATGTTAAAAATCACTTAGTAACCACCGCTCTTAATAGGTTTATTATAAAAATAATACCATTATAAATTTTATTTCCAGCACCCGCCTATATCCTATCAAACAAACAATCCAGGAATCGTCAGTAGCACCACAACGACAATTCAACGATTACCTCCGATGCAAGGACCTGCTTCCGTGATAGTACCCGTTTCGGTTCCGATATCGTTGCCTCTTCAGCATCAACAGACTTTAATGTACAGTACGCCCGATTCGAACACTCAATCGAAGTGACGTCTTTAAATCAAGTGGTTAAGTTTAATAGTGTACAATCCTGATCATGGTGGCTTGGACAAAAAGCATTTTTGAATGTTTGACCTTAACAATCTCTTTATATTTTATTGAGAACTTTAAAATATAGATGCTTTAGCTAATTAGCTTTCTTCAATGTCTTTAACAGAATAATTTATTAACTTCCAGATTTTCAGTTACTGATTTCATTTGTTAATCCTAAAAGGATTTTAAAATTTTCAAAAGTGTTTCCACTACAAAACCAACTTGGGTTTTAGGCCGAAAATCCTGAAGGTTATTTTATACTTTGGATGACGAACAAGAAAATAAAAGTAAGAAAAATCAAAAATGCTATTTGGTCAAATATAGCTCCCGAACATTCTTCTTATTTAATTGTACAAATTTAAATAATTAATGATAGAAACTAGTTGAATATTTTGTACATACTAGACAATAACTATGAAATGATGTTTCATTTTTTGTAGATTTTTTATTTATTTGGGATTTTGTAATATAAAAAGTCCGACGTAGAGCTGAAGCACTCATATAGTGCTTTCGAGTTATTTTTATAAAGAAATGCGTAAACAGAAAAGGTTTTTGTTTCTAGAATATTATGCATATTTAGATTCTTAACAAATTTTAACTATCAAGAGCAAAAATATTTGTCAGGTTGATTGATTTTTCTATAACTGTTGACAATAATTTTTTACGAAGACTTGTTAATCATAAAACAAAGTCCTATGAGCCTAGTCTATTTGATAGGGGTCATACAATGGATCCGTCTTAGGACGTCTAAGTGTCTGAAGGGCTCACAAATGTACACTGTCCCGATCTACCATAGCCATAACTATATCCATAATAAAACAAAAAGGTTACTTTACAGAAGTACTTAGAATTATTCATAAATCCTCTTCTTTCGGTACCTGTCATCTATAAATGTTATGTATCATATGAGGCGCTCCGTGGACAAACGGCGAATACGCCAAATGGGCATTTTGAGAAAAACGCGATTAAAGTTGAAAAAGTGTTTTTAATTCAATAAGGGCGAATATACACGTCATCAAAATTTTGTAATGCGGTTAGGTAAAAACTATTTTTTTTATAAAAAGTTTTGCTTGTTAAGCAAATAAGATCACCCCATCTAAACCAAAATTATAATTCAGGATATTGAAAAAAGTTTTATTCAAAGGATATGATATGAAAAACATTTTTTAATTAAAAATTGTTCTGTTTAAGATAAATCAAAAACTAAAAAAACACCAAACAATAAATTATTAATTCAAGCAAAAATCCATAACATCATCCTGACTTTCTCCAGTTAGCGTTGCCAAATTGGTTTGTGATTCTTGGAGAGAGATCAGCTCATCAAAGAAACTCCTATGATGAAGCGGTATGTATGGAAGAAGTGACTTGATGTCTTTTATTTTTTCCTCTGAAAGTTTTATAGGCTGTTGGTATTTAGGAGACAAAACTGCGGCAGATAAATCAAACAAATGGCGTTGATATTCTCCTACTTTTCCTTTCTGCAAAACAACTTGTTCGGACAAAACATTTTGGTACGTTGGTTGTATGGAAAACCCTTGTTTGAACAACTTGGAGTAAAGAAATACTTTACCATCTTTAAAACTAGCAGTTGATTTTCTTTTTGTAATTAACTTCTGAAGAGCAGTGAAATCAAAAAACATTGATGATGTCATTTTTACTACTTTGAACGGTCTGACCTTCCTTGATGAACGAATTAAGTCAATATAGTGGTCTTCAGAATAAACATCAATATTTCGAAGCCTTAACTCAATGTGACCAAAATCCCTGTCACAAGGTAAATATGAATGTCCAGGAATCATAAAGTAATGTTCTATGAAATCAAATTTTAATTCATGAATTTTTTTCAAACAAGCTAAAACAATGTTCATATTTTTGTTCTGGCCGCCACAATTGTCACTAAATAGCACAACTTTTTTGACTTGATGATCCATAGAATCAAAGTAATGGGACAAGCAGCTTGCTATTTCACATGAACCACGACCTCCAGTACTTTCATTCCACATGTACATAACACATTTTCCAGATTTAACATCATGGACTGCAAAATTGTAGGTCCAAAGCTTCCTTTTGTAATACTGTACAGATGTCGTCAGTTTAGGGGTAGGGAGAGTTTGCTGCAGATCTATACAAATTGCTGAAACTGAGTCTTCATTATTACTTTTATAACTTTTAAGTATTTTTTGAACTGCTTTGGCTCGTCTTAAATGAAGTTCCTTGGCAACTTGTAATTGGTTACGTTGTAAATCATCACAATTTGAAAGTTCCATATCTGTTTTGTCACAAAAATTACAAGTATCCGACTTAGGAGGGTTGAAACCAATATTGAATTTTTTATTAAATGTGTCACGATAGAACCGTGAGCTGACAGGTTCAATTAAAGGGTGATTTTCTGTCATCCACTCACAGTACAGGTCATACAACTTGTTTATGTTTAAGTCTGTGGAAAGGTACTTTCGGTAAGGGCTTTTTGCTCTGCTGTAATGGCTTGAACATTTGGGTAAACTATTTACATGTAACATTACAGTTTCTTTCATTTCTACACTTACTTTGTTAACTGGATTTTTATTTCCTCTTCTGTCCAATTCTACAGTGCCACTTGTGGATACTTTATTCAAAACAGTTCGAACCCTCTTTTCAGTGACACCATGAATCGCATAGAATGCTTTTCTGCAGACTTTAAATTCATTGCTTTCAAAAAGTACACTGTACTCAATACTACGTAACTTTCGACTAGGTCGATTTTTAATGCGACAACGGTTGACAGAAACAGATTTCACTCTTTTAGATAAGTAAGTGTTTTGTAGGTTATACTCAGATAATTCCCAAAAGTTTTTAAAAATTATACTAATTTTCTCCAAACCTACTTTCTCAAAACATCCACAGGAACAGGGACTTCCCACAGTCCGCTTAGGCACAAGTTTTCTGTTTTTAATGGTGCTGTATTCTTCACCTGAGTTTCTTTTAACTTTATTCACATTCTTTTGCCACGTGTCTTCAGTTTTCGACCTTTTTCTAGTGTAGCCTTTGTTTTGGTCTTCTGTAAACTCGCTTTCTGACATTGTAGCAGTAAAATTTTAACTTTATTAGTAAAGTAACTCAAACTATTCAAACTAATCAAAATAAAAACTACTTGTTTTGACAAGCAAAACGACACTGTAGCTTAAAACGGTAAAAATAAGACGGAAATCACGGAAATTTTATTCAGAAATTTGGCAAGACAGAAGTGGGAGGGCTAGCTGTGTACCGACGTAGCGGTGGCGTATTCGCCGTTGTTCCACGGAACATTTACCATACTTTTTAAGATTCATACAGTTTGCTTCCGTTAAGTCAACCTATTATAGTTCTGAATAGAAAGGACGAATAAACCATGTTATGGTGGTACATTGTTCGAATAATGATCAGGCTATCCATTGCATTAAAAAAAACTGTAACTGGCGTATTCGCCCTTTTTCCTCGGAGCGCCTCATATTGCTCCAGATAATCCTATTGACCACTGATCTGAACAGGGTGTTAAATGTTATACCGGTTCACTGCCTAAAATTTTTAATCAATAAGCTTCGTCTACCGCGTTTATCATCAATTTTCCGTGGTATTATTAGTTAAAGAAAGTTCTATTTAGTGTTTCTCACAACTTGATCTAAGTATTTAAGTTTCTTTGTTTTGATATTGTTCAAAATTTTCATGTTCTCGTCACATACGCTGTAGCATTTGCCATTTAATACAGACATATACAAAGACAATATTTAAGATAGAAAATTACTGCTATTGGTAACAGGATCACATCATTAATGTAATATTTATTTATACTGGTGTTCCTTACAGAAGAAATATGCGTAAATATTAAACGGTAATGGCGACTGAAAAGTACCTGGACGTACTCTTCTTTTTGCGGAGAACTTGAGATATCTGCATGAAACCTATAAATTTATTATTTAAACGAACATCCTTCTATAAACTATATATTATGACTATACTGTATTCGCTTCCAAGATGCGCAATTGAATTTACATACTTATTATTCTTTTGTATAAAAACAGAACATTAATATCAGAAGCTTCAGATAAGTTTTTCACAAGGGTCAACACCATCTTCATACAGGTCATAAAATTGATTTCGAAAACTCCAGAACCATAGCCCCCATCCGCTTCTATAAACCAAGAATTATCCGAGAAGCCATAGAAATAGAAAAAAGGCCAAATTGTCTTAATAAAAGAGATGACGCCATACGGTTACCTTCTAAATGGAGACCTCTTATAAAGAAAATATCGCCCCCTCCATCCTCGAATCAAAATTCCACAGTCGGAAATGTTCGCGCCAACTCTCGCGCCAACCCCAACGCCAACTCTCGCGCCAACCCCCACCTAGGCCACGCCATCATCGACGGTACAAATGAACCGTCTTCTGTTCCCAGCCGTAGTAGTGACAGCGCAGTGATCAGTGAACAGTGTAGTAGTGTCTGGGGGCTCGGGAGACTGAGACCTCGGAAGCCCTGAGGAAGGCATCAGAGAGGATGCCGAAAGCTCGGCAAAATGGATATCGACACGGTTCAACCCGGAAGACTGCTGAGTTTGATATTAATTTTAGTAATAATATTAATCTTAGCTCTAGGTTTCATTGTACTAACCGCGAAAATCTTTCCGAACATTATACAAAACAGAAAATCAATCCAGTACCTCGAATCAAGTGTTTAAGCAAACGAGTACAAGTTGTGATGCTCCAAAAATAGATATTTCTAATAATGTTAATTGTAAAATTTCAGTTGTTTTTAATCCTTAATGTGTTTGATTTGTAAATTTTATTGAATAAAAAAAGTTAAAACATTTTATCTACTCTTGCTGTTAAAGTGTCACTTTATCTACCCTTGCGGTTAAAGTGATACTTTATCTACTCAAAACAGTGTTATAGCAACACTTTAACATTAGCTATGGAAAAAAGGAATTGTATACGGCTGTTGCCGTCTCTCCGTCCCCATTTTCCATGACCTGCTGTCGTAGGTTGTTGCCTCTTCTAGGTTCCTTGCTGTCATTGCTTCATCGATATCATCACTTCTTCGAGTATGACCTCTCTTTCTTTTCGCAGGTGGAATCAATCCATTTAAATGTTATTCTGGGTGATCTGGCATTCTCTTTACGTGGCCGAACTATGACAACTGTCTTGTGAAATGTCAAAAACTTGACATTTAACCTTTGTCTTGTGAAATGTCAAAAACTTGACATTTAACCTTTTTGTAGAATAATAAAACAAGGAAATATTTTTACTACGAAAACGATACAAGGTATATAAGAAGGGAACAAAAATCTTAATAGTTTTTAAAAATGTATTCAGAGGACTTAATGGCTGTACATATCTTAAGTGAAATATTTGTATATTTTCTTAAAATTTGTTTGAATTATTGTGATATATATGGTTGTCAAATGAATGTTATTTAACGATTTTTTTTATTTCAACAAAACAGTTGTTTCATATTTATAATGTGGTAGAAAAAATTAAATAAACGTTATATAATCATATCGAAATAATTATTTATCCCTTAATGGCAAAGTCTGTAGCATATAATGTAAAAATTATGGATCTACGAAATTGCTATGTGGGATTTCGTAAAGCAATAAGCAGCATATCCAGAAGCAAATACACTTATATCATATACAGTGCTTTTCAGATAAAACTATCCACCTTAAATAACTTTTGAACCTCTAATTTTTTGGAAAAACGCAAAAACATTTTAATTAATATCTGAACGGGGAGGCATAATATCATATTTAAGGTTGCTGAAAAATGCACCCTCTCACCCCCTGTATCAACCCTTTATTTTTTTTAATTACTTCCCCCTTTTTTTTATTTTATATTTGGATTCTCCTTTTTGTACTGATTTTAGAAATGTATATTACATGATACTTGAAGTGATTAGTTTATGAGAAAAGTAAATACAAAAGCAAGAAAATTGGATTGAAAAAAAATTATTTTTTAACAATTTTATTACACACATTTAGAACAAACATTTCACTACTAAAAATTTTTACAATAATTGTTCAAAATGACTGCCTTTCACTTCCATACAATAGTACAATCTATTTTGAAATTCTTCTCTGACATTGCTTAACACGTCTGAATTTAATTGTCGACATTCATCCTCTATTCTTTGTTGTAAATCATCTAGATATTCTGGTTGAGTAGAATAATTTTTGTTTTTAAATACTCCCATAAGAAGAAGTCTAGGGGTGTTCAATCCGGTGACCTAGGTGGCCAATCGATCATCTGTCGTCTTTTACCTATCCAAGGACCGGGAAACGTTTCGTTTAAAAATTATCGCACAGGTAAAGCAATGTGTGGAGAAGCTCCATCATGTTGAAATACAACCAAATCATCGGAAAGGTTATCATCATTTGCTACTATTGTTCTAACGATCAACCACTTGCCCATATAATTCAAGATACGATGCACCATTTAAGTTTCCTGTGATAAAGAAGGGTCCGATAATGTGATTACGTAGGATACCACACCATACGTTTAACCTTTGAGGATGCTGTGTGTGAAATTCGCGTACAATATGTGGATCACTCTCAGCCCAGTATCATTTAACTCTTGTACTAATTTAATTTTATATGGATAAAACTTAAATTTATGGAGGACTCGGAAGGCTGTAGAAGATGAAACACCGACTGCTCTGCTTATTGTTGACAGTGACTGTGATTGTTAAGAGTCTAAGTTAACTTGCCCTAAAACAGCTACTTGGATTGCTTTTTTATTTACAAGTTCCTGTCGGTTATGTTTTTTATTGCAAACTGACCCTCTTGATCTAATTTTTTCTGCATCAGTTCAATCACACACTTATGAGTTGCATGTCTATTGTGGTGTGTTTCATTAAAAATTCTAGCAGCAGCTCTTGCACAATTATTCATCAGCACCTTCAACTGTTGTCACGTTTTGTTTTAAAATTTCTTATTCGCGTGTCGCTGAAAATATTATTCCGTATTTTATACTCTACAGGTGCTATCAAACCAAAATAATAATTTATTGGTTAGATTAATATATTTAATTGTAATTAAAATATAAAGTGTGCACATAGTGTGCATTATCATTTAATAATAGCGTATAATAGATATCAATCAATTATTTTATATGTAGAAGCACTGAAAACTATTTATAAATGGCAACCGTTGTTTACATTTCTCTGTCTTATGGATCTACGTCAAACTTCAAATACTGTTCCATGTTTGTTTACTTTTTAGTAAAAGTTGTTTTTCGATATTTTGGCTGTATTTTGAGTGATATTTGTGAAAAGTGAAATAAAATAAACGAAATATTTACATCCCGATCTCTCATTTCATTTGTAAGTACATACAATTTACATTATTTAAGATGAGGAAATGAGGAAGCGTGTTTGTTTACATTTTAATAGGCGTACCATTGGGTTTATTCATGTTCATTAATGTATTGAATAAGATATGTTCATGAAATTAGTAGACATTTTAAAATTGTAAGTAGACAACATCCGATTAAAAAAGATCTGTTTAGTACCTTTTTAAAACGTGTTTTTATACATTATTACTACTTCCAATTTTTAAAATCTGAATAATTACCCGCGAGTAAAAATTCAAGCACGCTTATGCTCATTGCGGAAGCATCACATTCTATGGAAGCTTCAAAACATTGTGTGTTAAAGGTATCTTATTGCTGTGTCCATCTATGTTTATACGCATCTGTGTTTATACGTCCATGGATACGACGAACTGTTTTTAAAAGGGGCTTTTAAAAGAATCAACGTATGTGTCCAAAGATTTTGCCTAGTATGTAGGATATATTCTTTTCATCTCCATTTTATTAGCTGTTAATCTAAATCGTTAACGGTCATTCACCTGTTGACTTCCTGGCAGCATTCGTTAACCACTACAAGTTTAAATTGTCTTCGATTAATAATTTCAAATCATCACTGTATGCCATCGACCTAGTATTTGTGCGGTACTATCGGATGACGAATGCGCGTCATGGGCGTGGTTATTTTCAGACTTTCGGCTGTTTTTGGTGAACTGTACTACGACTAGATTTATGTGGGCAAACGGGTTATGCTCACAGCTTTAATAAAATCGGTTAAGTATGTAAATTAAAAAATTTAAGAAAAATTGAATATTTTTATTTCTTATTATATTCTATATATCACATTTTTTGAGTATAAAACTACAGACAACATAAGTAGAAAACCTAATACTAAAGCTTAACAATAAATTAATTAGACTGGACGAATTTGATAAATAAATAATACTATAACTAAGTAGTCAGCATAAGTAATTTTGATAAATTACAATTTTCTTAGAGAATCTGTCAGGATACACATTTCGGAGGCGATATTGTTAACCAGTCTTTGAACCTGAAGTTTGGAATCCAAAACTTCTATACTTTGAGTGTAAGCGTTGTAACGAACTCCGAAATCTCTTGGAATGGTAGCTGCATAACGTCTGAAATAAAAGAAATATAACTTAATATTATAATCTAAGAATAGTTATATGTTTTACAAGAATTCGAGAGCCAAATTTACAAGGATATGATTCATATTGGATACAGTGACGTATCTTAAATATCCAGAAAAAAATGAGATGGTCCTCAAATCTTCTAGTACTAAGAACACAATACTTACATCATCTTTTCTTTGGCATCTTCAAAACTTTCTGCTACGTAGTACACAGGCTGGTACTCGGTGATTGGGTACTTTTGTTCCGCTGTCTTAACTGGCTCGAAAGGTCGGATTTCTGATTTAAGTTCTAAAGCGTATTGAAGTTCGCCAAAACTGGACAGAAGACCTGCTCCGTAGGCTTTGAGCTCTCCATTTTCTCTACAGAGGCCGAATTCGACAGTGAACCAGAAACACTGAAAAAAAAATTCAATTATTTATAAGGAGGTCACGAAAAAAATGTACTATCCAAATATATATAAGTCGACTGTAGTGTGGTTACGAAGAAACAATGAATGAGGATAGATAATGGTAGATTACAACCCCATCAAAGAAGATTCACCACCATTATCACCATAAGATTTTTTAGAGGATAAAAAAATATTTATAAAATTAATCTACTTGCTCAATACAAAAGATGATAATTTATGTTATTTATCAATTGTTTTTATACATTTTTGTGACATAATAGAAACAATTGAATTGGCTAATGGTGTTATTTCCTCAAAAAGAAAGATAACGATTTCAAAAACAAAAACCACATTATACGTCAGTGGTTCATGAACTAGTTGATAAAATGTGTTTAAGAGATTATTTTTTAATAATATCAATAAAATGATATGCTTGAAGTTAAGTGCCATTTTAACACATATTGTAGCTATAACCTTGTGTCTCATAGTTCGTATTTACAAAGATCTTATCACTTATTTAGTTTTCAAAATAACAATAACTATACATATTATAAACATTTATAATACTAATCATCATTTTGTCATACTATACTGATATGTATGTACATTAGTTCCTTTATTCTCATTTTCATAAACTTCAACTAGTATTTTAGTAATCAAGATGATTTTATAAAAAAAATTGCCCCATTCTTCTCTACCCTTTAACGATTCTTATTATTGTTCTTTCTTCCATTGTACCAATATGTTTATTCCACTATTTTTTCCTATTTAGCGCCCAACCGTTAACATCTCCTACCATACATGCATTCCTTATGTTTTCACTTATTTCACTGTCTAAAAGAGTCTTTCCAGCTATGCCACAAAGTTACTTCATTTTTATTCTTTCAAGCAATCTTTTATATTTATCTATAATTCATATTATAAAATAAATTCGAACATCAAAAAACCTCGAGTTGTTTTGAAAACAACATATAGCTTAATTACTATTTAACTGGAAATAAGCCACAATTAAAGATAAAAATACGTTTATTGACGTTTCAATTTCCACTTCGGAAATCGTTCTCAAAATACAAACAGTAAATTAAACAAATTTTGTTTTTTGTTACATAGTGAAAAATTCTTCTAATAATTTAATTTTATCTGACTCATTTATATTGACAATTCAGACATACATTATGCATTTTAAAGTAGACGACTTTAAAATGATATTGCCAATATTGTTGAGTTGCGCTCCTGGGACGACTTTACTTATAAGATAGTTCATTCGATTACATGAAATCAACTTTAACTTGAGAATATCCGTCAGAAAAAATCATAGCATGTAATTCGTCTTTAAAAAGACAAACACATGACATGATGACAGTAAAATTCTCCTGTTAGTGATTCCATAGTAAATTATGAGGGAAAAACCAGGAAAAAAACCTCATAATACTATCCCGACATTGTAAGTATTTGTTCGTGAATTTAGTTTACCTTCAACAAACATCAAAATTCTGATTTTATATGTTACGTTATTTAAAAAACATAAATGATGTATCCTCTATATGTTACTGACTTACTAATACTGGTATTTTCTTATTAATAACTTCCTCTTTCAATATTGGTAACCAGATCTACATCTGCGAATTGCGCCATTCCATTTAGCATAATTGAGCGCTTCTTTGATTTTCTTTTTTACCATCCGTTTCTTTTAGGACTACATTTGAATTATTCCATTGAACCCTATGTTCATTATCCCATGCGTGTTTACATATTTGAGATCTATCAAATTCTCTATTTTTAATATAAGATTGATGTTCACTTATTCTAACATTTAATGGCCTTGATGATTCACCTAAATAAAACTGATCGCATTCACAAGGTATTTTATAAATGCAATTCTTTGTCCTTTCTTGTTCATTGTTAGGTTTGGTTTTGGACAAAATAGATCTCAACGTGTTTGTTGTTTTGAATGTTGTTGAAATGTTGAATTTATTTCCTATCCTTTTAAGTTTTTCTGATAATCCTTTTATGTACGGTATTGTTATTTTCCTCATATTATTCCTTGTGTATGCTGTAGGATCTCGTTCTAAGTTGTTCTGTTCTATTCGATCGATTGTTGAAATTCCTTATTTATAAACGATAAAGGATAATCATTTTTTAATAAAACAGATGTTAACAAATGTTTCTCCTCCAAGAACGAATTTTCGTTAGAACAAGTAATTTTGGCTCTATCGTATAAGGATTTAATTATTCCCTTTTTTACATTAATATTGTGATTTGATTTGAAATTTAAATATCTATTGGTGTGTGTTGGTTTTCTATACACCTGAGTCTCATATCCAGTATCGTTCTTAGAGATTAAAACATCCAGGAAAGGTAGCGTGTTATTATATTCCTTTTCCATGGTAAATGTTATTGTCTCTTCTTTATCGTTTATATCATTTAGGAATGTGTCCAACAACTCTGATCCATGAGGCCATATGAGAATACATCATCTACATACCTCCACCATACTGTGGGTTTGAAATTTTGTTTAGAAATGATATTTGTTTCAAAATCTTCCATAAATATATGATTTTTTCTGAGGGATATTCTCAAGTTAAAGTTGATTTCATGTAATCATGTATCATTTTAAAGTCGTCTACTTTAAAATGCATAATGTATGTCTGAATTGTCAATATAAATGAGTCAGATAAAATTAAATTATTAGAAGAATTTTTCACTATGTAACAAAAAACAAAATTTGTTAAATTTACTGTTTGTATTTTGAGAACGATTTCCGAAGTGGAAATTGAAACGTCAATAAACGTATTTTTATCTTTAATTGTGGCTTATTCCCATTTAATAGTAATTCATTTACAATGCCACAAGAAAATAGCTTCAGATCAATATTAACATATAACTTTTTGGACTTTTCTGCATAAATCGTTATATTTAAGTTAAGTAGATGTCTTCTTCTTCTTCGGGTTCCTTCTCCTAGCGGAGGTTGGAAATCATCATCGCTATTTTAACTTTGTTGGCCGCATTTCTGAATAATTCTAATGAGCTGCAGCCGAACCACTCTCTCAAATTTATTAGCCAGGACATTTTGCGTCGTCCTGGGTTTCTCTTCCCTTGTATCTTCCCTTGCATAATCATTTTATGCAAGGTATAGTAGATGTAGCAATTCATAGTAGATGTAGCAATGAGTTATTGGTATACCATGAAGACTATTACTTATTATTGAAACACCTTATTTACTTACAGTTGCGAGTTTTTCGATGTAGTCATCAGGGGCTCCTAGGGAAGCTAGTCCGATTTCTTGTGAAAACTGTGCAAATTCTGGATCAGCAAAAAGTGGTACGTGTCCTAACAACTCATGGCAAACATCTGGTTCTGGTGTATAGTAAGGTTTACTGGGATGTCTAATGTATTGGGTGGAGTGGAAGACTCTAAATGCTAATCCAGCTAAGAAATCTCTGGAAGAAAGCAGACCTGCTACAGGTCTAAGTGTAAATCCAGTACAATCTGAAAAAAAAGATCATCTTTAGTAAAATTATTCGATTTTAATACAAAATTAGTTTTGAAAAAGAACTTGATAACAACTTACCTTTAAGGAAATTCGAGATGTCTTCTAATTGTGGAATGTTATCTGCTCTGTACCCGCAGTTTTCTACTAGTAGGGGGAACACATGATTATGTTCTTTGCAAGCATGTGTGGGATATAAAGTTGTCAGTTGCCTAAATACTTTGCCCCATGTTTCAGTTTCTTCTTTGGTATAATCTACGTGAGGAAGTTTTTGACCATGTCTAGAAAAATTACAGTATTTAGTTATTTAAAATACTTAAATATTTAAAGTTTTTGATTTAGGTTTGAGGATCACACAGTTCTTATTTCAGACCTAGTATATTATGCCCGCCAACTTCTTTAAGATCTTCAGAACTCTTGTACATGAGTTGGCCTTAAAATTAACTTTTCCAAAACACAATACATAACCAACCTTGTACTGGCCAAAAACATTTCAACTAATGGCATGCAAATTTAACAAGTTTATACCTATAAGTATCTGGACCACAAAATTAAGTTAGGAAAAGGCATTCAAACAACAAAGTTAAACAAAAGAATAGGAATAACATAGGCAACTTATGGAAAACTGACTTAAGTCTTTAGATCAGATATTCCCATGTACTTGAAAACAAGGTCTTTATCAGTATGTGATCCCAGTTCTAACATGTGCAGCAGAAACATTGACTCCTACCAGAATAGTAATCAATAAAATGCAAGTGGCCAAAAGATCAATGGAGAGGTCAATGTTCAACATATCTCACAAAGACAGAGTTTTAAATTAAATAGTTAGTGTTATTACGGACGCAGTTAAAAGAATTGCAAAACAACGCTGGAGTGGAACTGAGAAGGCCATGTTGCCAGAGTTATAGATAGAAGCTGGACCAAGAAAGTTATAATATAGACACATAGATACGATTTTTATTGTAATCGAGGACGTTCTTCAATAAAATGGTCGGACAACATCAAACGCATCCAGCACAACTGGATTCAAGTTACTCAAGATCGGATATAATGGAATTATTTACGGAAGTCCTATGATGATAATTATGAAATATTTAAATATTTAAAATAAAATTTATATAAAATACTTACTTGTAATTGAAGGCAATATCAGCAAAGTATTTCCTGCGTGCTCTGTAGACGGGATCAGTGAAACCAGGATGATCAGCATCTAGCTCAGCGCCATAGGATAAAATCTGGTTAGCAAAACGGTCAAGATCTCTTATACGTCTTGGAAACCATGGAACGGTATCTAAATTTTACAAATAACGAAATTAACTATGATTTAAAAATAAACTTTTAATTGTACAATATTAGAAAGTGATGCAAACATTTTAAGTTACTTTATTTAGTATAGAAAAATAATTAATCGAGTTTCTCTTGTTAAGATCAAATATTTTTTTCTGTTCTTCTTACCTTTGTTATCTCTGTAGTCTCTGGAAATGATCTGTAAGTATTCGCTGATGTCTTTCATGTCGGAAATTGCAGCTCCAAGGTTTCCAGTTGGGGCACATTCTACCATGAATTCGTAATTGTCCGGAGTTTTCGAAGATGGTCTAGATTCAATGTGTAATAGATTGACTTCATGTTTCTTGAAGATTGACAAGTATTTGGCAAGAACTCCTACTTCTTCAGCTGGGGGTGCGAAGACGATGCAAGTGCTGTGTGCTGAATCCTTACCGATTCTGATGTAGTTGCCGCCGGGCATTAGTTTGGGCTAAAATAAAATAAAATTTATTTGTAGAGGGTGTACTTAGATATCTCGCTCTGTCTAAAAATATATATGTTTTTTGTTGTCATCAAAAAATTCCAAATTTACATTGAAGGAAATTAAAAGCTTATTATCTAGCTTGAAGCATCATTTCTACTAAGTAGTCCATTATCTTTTTAGATCTAAGTAGTAAGCTCAGTGGAGAATTGATGTCCTTTTTAGATCAACGTCCCAAGCTTGACTCAATCCAGTTGTTTTTTCCCGTTTAGACCAAAGGGATCTACATTATGATGTGTTTCTTTACTTTAAACATATTTAAAATTTTTCTGTACTCAATTAGCAATACTGGCTTCCTATGGGTTATCAACCAGCTCAACCAGCTCAAGATAATTTGAAACGACAGAGTATTAAAAATATCATGGACTGATAGAATTACAAATAAAGAAGTACTGGAGAGGGTTGGTAAAGAAACAGAACTAATCACCACTATACAAACCAGAAAACTGGAATACCTAGGCCACGTGATGAGGGGACCAAAATATGAAATTTTGAGACTGATAATACAGGGAAAGATTCAAGGAAGAAGATCTGTTGGCCGAAGGCAGAACTCATGGTTAAAGAATCTACGTGATTGGTATCAATGCAGATCGATTGATTTGTTTAGAGCAGCAAGTTCTAAAATAAAAATAGCCATTATGATTGCCAACCTCCGTAGGGAGACGGTACTCTAAGAAGAAGAATCGATTGTCGTCATTTTATGCAGTGTGCATTGGTATATCATGGCCATATTACTTCAGGCAACAATGGGGTATGCACCTCTGTCTGAACATATGTTTTCTGGTAAACCATGTTAATCTGCCATGGTGCATAATTGTATATGGACCAGTGTGTAATCTTTAGAAAGTACATCTAGCTGATGATTGTTCAAATTGATTTTTAAGTTACATAATATTGGGTCAATAATATATATGTATTGACTGTGTCTGGTAAAACCAGATTCGTTGGCAGTTGATTTACACTTTACTTCAACGGGATTTTGTGATTTTTATGTCTAATTAATATGTCCATTCTTCTTCTTCTTCTTAGCCTTCTGTCGTCCATGTTTGGACATAGGCCTCTCCCAACTCCTTCCATCGGTCTCTATCCTGAGCAACATATTTCCAATTTGTTCCGTGCTATTCTTTTAATGTCATCAACCCATCTCATCTGTGGTCTTCCTCTTGGTCGTTTACTTTCGTAAGGTCTCCAATGTTGTATTGTAGTATTCCAACGTTGGTCTTTCTGTCTAGCAGTGTGGCCCGCGAAGCTCCATTTAAGTTTGGCAATTTTTGTTGTTATGTCCTCGACTTTTGTTTTGGATCTTACCCAGTCGTTCCTCTTTTTATCTGACAGTCGTATACCTAACATTGCTCTTTCCATTGTTCTTTCTGTTGTGGCTAGTTTATTCATGTTTGCCTTGGTTAGGGTCCAGGTTTGACATCCATATGTCATGAAGTCATGATATGTCACAATATGTCCATGTTAAAGCATAAATGGCACAGAAGATTCCTTCAACTTAAATCACTAGGTTGTTCTGGTAGCTACACCTTACTTACTGATTAGGAGGTAATGTTAACTGTTTTTTAACAAAATATTTTAAATAATGTACAAAGCTTTCAAACATATTCTAATTTTTACCTTGGTACAAGATTACTTCTATTTTAGATTTCAAAAGAGACTTGTAAGTTTATTTTACTCATAAGTTTAAAAAAAGTTTTAGTCAATAGAGAAGAGACATATTTTATATTCATAAATAAAGATGAAAGTAGGTAAAGAAATAATAAATAAGACTTACTCACAATCAATTTAATTTAACTATTCAGACGACCGGTTTCGCTTTCTACAATATGCAAAGCATCTTCAGGTCTCGATACAAAGTTAAATAAATGCTGAAATGATAAAAACCCATATTAGGGTGTTGTCTAATAAAGATAAACAAATTAGATGTTATAAATTACAATAATTATGCCAATATTACATGTCTGTGGTTTTTTTAAAATGAATAAAATGAATAAAAAGGTATAAAAAGTTTAAACAGACAAGGTAAGACCCACAAATTGTTATAAAATAGTCTATTAGATTGTAATAAATTAATAAATGAGCAAATAAATAAACATTACTTACATGCCGGTACTCTATTAATTGATGGATGGTAGAACATGGTTGAAACTATCATGTATTGTTGAATGGAGAACTTAAGTCTGCTATTGTAGTTGTTTGACAGTAAACGGGAAGTTCACATTGAATTGTTCAAGCAAACAACTACAATAGCAGACTTAAGTTCTCCATTCAACAATACATGATAGTTTCAACCATGTTCTACCATCCATCAATTAATAGAGTACCGGCATGTAAGTAATGTTTATTTATTTGCTCATTTATTAATTTATTACAATCTAATAGACTATTTTATAACAATTTGTGGGTCTTACCTTGTCTGTTTAAACTTTTTATACCTTTTTATTCATTTTATTCATTTAAAAAAACCACAGACATGTAATATTGGCATAATTATTGTAATTTATAACATCTAATTTGTTTATCTTTATTAGACAACACCCTAATATGGGTTTTTATCATTTCATCATTTATTTAACTTTGTATCGAGACCTGAAGATGCTTTGCATATTGTAGAAAGCGAAACCGGTCGTCTGAATAGTTAAATTAAATTGATTGTGAGTAAGTCTTATTTATTATTTCTTTACCTATTTGAAATGGACTCACACAAGCACACATTCATGAAAGATTAAAGTGTGTAACCATTAAACAATTCCAACTATACAGATTTAGAAAGATGATTAGTATTTGGTTTCTGTTTTCTAAAGATTTTGATGAATTTAATTTCACTTAGTGAGGCAAGGTCAGTTTAAAGGAAGTAAAAGAAAAATATCCTTGGATAAATCATTAATATTATCCAAATTAATACATTTAAGATATGTTTTATTTATATAATTAAAAAGTTTCGATAAATTATAAGCCGTATTTGGATATTAAATTTTATTGAAAAATCCTTGGATGTGACCGTTCGGTTTAAATAATTGATATTTATGTTGATAATGATGGAAAATTTATCAATGATGAGTTTAGATGAAGAAATATATAATATAGAGAAGCGTGGACTATAAGTGAGGTCATGCTTTGGTGTGTATACAGCCGACTAATAAAGATAAGCTGGGTCGATAGAGTCAGAAATGAGGAGGTTATAGAACGGCTGAACCGAACAATACAATGGGTCAATATAATAAAAAGACGCAAGCTGGAATACTTCGATCCCAATAAAATGATTACCTTTGAAAAATATTTTGCATTTTGCATCTCATCATATAGGAAAAGATTCAAGGTAAACGTGGTCCCGACACATGAACAACTTTATCTCTTAAAAACTTAATGTAACGGAAGATAAGGTACAAAAAAGAGGAACAAAGCACCCGGACCAGGGGATATACCCGAAGAATTGTTTAAGTACGGAATGAACAAATTGTACGAATGTCTTCGACAACTATTTCAAGAATTTATAAACACAAGCGATATCCCTATGGAATGGAAGATATCATACCTCAGTCATCATCATCATCATTGGCTTTTACAACTCTTCGTGAGTTTTTGCCGCGTTTACTATTGCCTTCCATTGATTCCGATCCTGTGCTATTATTTCCCATGGCCTTACTTCCATCTTCTCCAGGTCTTCCCTGACTGCGTCTTTCCACCTTTTTCTAGGCCTTCCTGTCGATCTTCTACCATCTGGTCTTTCCCAAAACACATTGCTAATCAGTCTGTCGTCATCACTCCGTACCACGTGGCCTGCCCATCTTAATCTATTGGCTTTTATGTATCTTACGATGTTTCCTTTCCCGAAGAGAGTCTCTATTTCATTGTTGTATCTGCTCCTCCATTCATTTGTCACGCTGTCCCTGCAAGGACCATATATAATTCGCAGGATTTTGCGTTCCCATACTAATAGCTTATTGATTTCTTTCTTTCTCAATGTCCATGTTTCACTTCCATATGTCACTGCTGGTCGTATTATGGTTTTGTACATTTGGATTTTGGCACGCCTTGAGAGAAGCTTTGACCTCATTAGATGTTGAATGGCAAAGAATGATTTATTCCCCGCCAGTATTCGTATTTCAACCTCCCGTTCTCCTGTGTTTTCACTGGTAATTGTTGCTCCTAGGTATTTGAATTCTTTGACCACCTCAAAATTATGATCGTTTATGGTAATGTTTTGTCTTATTCGCTGTCGTTCCTTTTTTGATACGACCATGTATTTAGTTTTTTCTTCGTTTATTTTCAGGCCTACGCTTAGTGTTGCTTCTTCAAAGTTCGATACTATATCCTTAACTTCCAGTGTTGTCTGTGCTACTGCATCTACATCATCTGCAAATGCGAGAATAATCTTTGCTCCTCTGGCAGTTATGTCTGGTTTGACTCTGGTATAGATTTTTCGCATTGCGTATTCCAATGCTAGGTTAAATAGTAATGGGGACAGCGGGTCTCCCTGTCTGAGCCCGGTGCTTATGCCGAAAGCCTTTGAAGTTTTGCCTCCTATTCTAATTTGTGCAAAGGAATTGTTGACACACATTCGCGCAATCATGGTCAGCTTCTTTGGTACGCCTAACTCCATCATTGCACTCCACAGTTTTAAGCGATCTATGGAATCATATGCTTGTTTGAAATCTATGAAGATCTGGTGTACTTCTTTATTATATTCCCAATACTTTTCTAGCATTTGTCTGATAGTAAATATTTGGTCGATTGTTGATCTTCCAGGCCTAAAGCCGCATTGGTAATCGCCAATAATTTCCTCTGTTATGGCAGTAATCGTTTTAGTACAACTGAAGCTAATATCTTATGTACTACCGATTAGTGAGATTCCCCTGTAGTTGCCACATGTATCCTTTTGCCTTTTTTATGTATTGGCACGATAATACAGCCACTCCATTCTTTTGGCATTATTTCTTGTTCCC